AAATTTCTGAATGGTGTTCACTTAAGTTCTTTTCCCCAATATGGTTCTTCAGGAGCCACATGTTTCTTTCTAAAAGTGTCTGACTCTTCTTGGCCACAACTTCCCAATGGTTATGGTGAGAGGCTCTGTCACTGTTGCTGCTGAAATATTTTTTAATTGCTATTTTGTGTTCATTTCTTCAGAGTTTAGTGGGGCAGAGGTTGAAATACTACCCCCCAAATGTCCCCTATTTTACACACAATTTAGCTTGTTTGTGGGTGTGAACATTTCAGGGTCACTGAAATCTATGTCCTTCCCCCACGAGAGTAGATCGCGCGTGTTGTGCTGTCACCCTCTCAGCTCCTCATAGACCGTCTCCCACATTACAGTCACCTGACATTTCAGTTTTTGTACACGTGGTGGCATTAATTCATTTTCGGATAATGACAGTAAATTCTTCATTCCTCATGGCATCTTAAGAGTGGAGAACTTGAACTAGTGAAGAACACAATATCCGTAACTTTGTTAGTCTTATGTTGTAACATTTTATTTTGCTAAGCCCTTTCCCCCAGACCTGTTAATAATTAGCAGAATTCACGAGTTGTACTTGCTCTTCCTGCCTCCAGAGTAGATACCTAAACGTGTTGACAGGACATCTGAACAAAGCAGTGACAACAGCAACTACAAATACAGTGAAGTCCTGCATGGGCTCCATTTACAGTGCATGGATACTTCACCACATGGCATTCGTGCATGTGGGGTTACTCTGGACACTTACCTAAGACGATTTACAGAACTCTGAAGTGATTTCTTCCAGGACTTAGAGTCTTAGAGACTTAATGTGTATGTGTTTAATGTTTTGATAAAAGCTAAGATTACTCTTTTGCTTTAATCTGTTTTTTAGCATGTATTTTTCACCTTGAGGATGTAGACTGTAACAGTGCCAGGCACATAGTGGGTGCTTAGTTAGTATGTGGTGGGTTCTCTGCCCCTGATAACGTAAAGGCCCATGTTATTGCAGAAGGAAATTGTAATATTCATGATTCTTGTTACAGCCTTTATCACTAGAACTCATTTAAAATAATTAATCACTTTAATGCATTCTAGCAGAATATTTTTAGATTATTCTTTAAATTTATCTGCCCCTCTTTTTAAGTCACTCACTTCCTGACCCACTTCCCATCTTTTCATCTCTTCTTTTTCCGATTATGTCTGACCTTTTCCTGCTTTTTCTCAAAATATATCTGTAATTACTTAAGTCCACTTAAACATTACACAGTTTGTAAAGGGCTTGGAGTAAAATAGGAAGTCAGCTCTTTATTATTGCAACACTAGTTGAATCGTTGCTTGAGAGGTGCAGACCCATAGATATTTCTGTGTAAAATAACCATGCTAGGCTCCACGAGAGCTCCGCACATATAGAAGGGAGAAACAGGAGTGTGGACGAGGCTCTGCCAGGCACACAGCTCGGTGGACTCTCCCTCTTTAGGAGGGGATGTGCTAACGTGGGAGCACAGCAGCCGGGGACTGTAAGGGAGGCGGCATAGCTCTGAGACGGAAATTGGAGCAGGAACGAAGAGCTCTGAGTTCTAGTCTTTCCCACGCCCAGCTGAGAAACACTGAGCCAGTTCTCTTAGCCTTCTTCTGTCTCCAGCCTCAGCATTTTCTGTCTATAGTGTGAATTTTAACTAACTCTGCTGGTTTGTAAGTATTGTGTAACACACATGTCTGCTTTGCTTTCATAGAAGATAGGTGTTCTGTGTTTTTTTAGTTACTGTCGAGTAACAACCTGTTTTTTTTTGGTTGCTATTAATGAATGTAGGAGCATAGATGAATCATGCTATTAGTTTATAAAGTCTGTACCATTTGCATGGTGACTTCAGGTGGTCTTAAGTAAATAAGATGAACTGATTGGTGCAGTCAATCTCTAAATAATTGTATTTAGAGTTCTTTGTTCATCGACACATGTATAGTACCAAACATTTAGAAATTTTAGGCTGTATATTCTAAGTTTCTATAATAAACATTTGTGATTTTTATAATAAAGAGTTAAAAACCAACAACAGTCCTGAATACTCCTCACCTTTGATATAGCCATGGATCTGATTGGCTTTTCTTAGAGGCTGTTGAAAGCATCTAGAGGTGATCTTTTGATGTGTGACCTGGTAAGCAAAGAATGAACGGGTCTTCGGTTTTTGCCTCGCAGGATTTTTATTCTTTGTCCTGTTAAAACAGCTTTAAGTCTCTAAGTGGTCTCTAGTCAGTGTTTAGACTATTAGTAAATTATCAGTCCAAATGCATCTAGCTGATTTGTCTTCCTGTTTCTAAGCTGGAAGTGAGAAGCTGCTAATTAACTAAATTTTAGCCTAGCATATCTGAACACTTCAAAAATACAATGTGTAATACATTCGCTAATGCCCTTTGAAATAAACCTAATTTTCTGCAGATATTTTAGCTGTGCTGAATTAAAAGAAAACTCTATTCTAAGTTTATAAATCATTCTGGTGTATTGTATAATATTTTGATTTCATTTATAGATGCAGAGGCACTTTGTGGGACCTGGTATGGAATATGACAGAATCAGAGATTAGCGTAGTCCCTTTGTGAAGCCGTTTTTTGTTCAGAGAGAACCAAAATATGCACTATCTGAAGCCCAAGATGTTGACAAATAACAAAGTGAGGCATTAGGAGATATCAGGAGAAAGAAGCTGCCAGTGAATTTGTTTGGAATTTTGCTCATTGCCTTATAGAATTAATAACACACTTAAATGCTATTAAATATGAAAGGTTTTTTTTTTTTTTGAAATTGGTCTTTTCCTGTAGGCTATTGGCCCCTTCTGTCAAAACTAAATACATTCTCAGAAAAGTTGGGCAGGAGATACCCAGCTGAAGTATGGACTAATGAAATTCAGTGCTTTACCTATTGCGTGATGCTTAAAATACAGGTGTTTTTTTTTGTTGGTTGAATACTGGCTGATTTTCATTCCTATGTAATTTACTTGCATGGAGATTAAGAAAGCTCTTTTTTATTAAATAAGCTTGAGAACAAGATGAATGCACTAGGTTCTTGGGTAGAATGTATTGGATAGCTCCCTTTATAATGAGCATTTAAAAATCTGCCTCCTTAAAATCGGAAAATGCATTCTTTCCTGTATGGAAAGCAATAAAGTAGTGAAATATTCCTCCTTAATTTTGGTCCGAACGAACAAAAGTGTCTGTGTTTATTCCTGCCTAATGCATCACAAATCTGCTGACATGCTAACCTTGGAGTCTTGGCTGGCGTTAATCAGGCCTGTGCACCGGCAGGAAAGATGCACCTAATGCACTCCATCAGTGCAGTTTGCATATGGAAGTTCTCACAGGGGAGCTGCCCTGTGCCAGCTGAGGGTTACCTGCCCACTGCAGTTATTGTATGTAATTATCGAACCAATCTGTTCAGCCCAGCAGGGTTTAGATGGTAATCATGAAGCAACACTTTGGAAAAGAAAGAGGTAAGGCACTCTCCCCTTCTCTCATCAGTTATATGAAGTTACAGCCATTCTTAACAGCTGTTTTTGAGAGGCAATATCTCCATATACAAATCTGCTAAATGAATGCCTTTGAAAGTTTCTTAAGGTTTAGTCAAGTTATTTTTGTCTGTGTGAAGTGTTTTCTTCAGGAGCGTGGCGGGGATCTTGGAGTTCTGAACTTTCCACGGCCACCTTAAGAATATTTTGAAACAGTGGGATTATTTGTAATATGTAGATAATAACAGTTCTGACCATTTTGGGGTTTTAAAGTAATGTGGTTTGAGTAGAGTGGAGCTTTCTCATGCAGCTCTCTGTGGAACAGAACCCGCGGTTGCCATCAGGCAAGAGAACCGTGTGCTGTCAGCAGGCAGTGTGGGGAATGGCCCGAAGCAAGGGAAATGCTCAGATGAAGTTTAACTTAATATTAATTGTTAGAAAATATAAGTGAGGACGTTCCGATGCATTGTGAATCTGAAGTTTGGGACAGATGAGAGGACTTCCTAAACGAAATCTGGGCCACCCAGGGAAGCTTTGAATTATCATTTGGATTTTAACGCATTTAAATTTGAGACTACATGGGATAAAGTTATAGGAGAAATACAAAGTTGTAAAGTTATTACTAAGTCCTTCCGTAGTGATTCCCACATGTAGACGTGTGGAGTAATTTAAAAACTTCACACAGGACTGAACTAGTTAGAAAATGTCATAGTGAAAGAAAATAATAAAAAGAAACTGAACGAACACTTGGGAAGACCGCCTGGTGACAGAATTTAAGCATTAACTCCTAAGTAACCCTCAACTAGAAAAAATAAATAGAAAGCTGGAAAAAATAAATAGAAAGTTGAGGAGAATCCAACCTATTTTGGAGATTTTAGGAAAGCTGTGTACTTTTAAGACTCTTCCTTTACAGGAAGGTGTCCCCCTTAAACTTTTAATGAAAAGTATACCAAAAGAAGACCTTTATTGGAAGTTTGTTGTTATTGATTCATGAGCAGAATTTTGCCATTGATTGATAGAGTATAACCAGTGATATACTATATGCACAAGGTGCATATTTTCCCCTTTATCAAGTAGATTACTCTCCCTCCCCCCGCATAGCCCACACACATTGTAAAATGCGGAGAATAAGTATCGTTGGCCTGAGTGGTGAAACCAAGTTTGTTAAATGCTTTGCTTTTAAAAGAGAGTTTCTGTATCATCAATCCTGATGGTTAGGCTTTCAATTATGAACTATAAAAAGCATAAAAGCTTGAGGTGGTTACAACAAACAAGCTGACATTCAGACTAACTGAATAGTTGAAGGTTCTCTTAATCCCATTTTCTTCCATCCACAGACCCTTCCCCTTAGGTAACTACCGCCCTGTAGTTGTGTGTATTCTTACTGTATGTTTTGATTCACCCACACCTGGATAGATTCACATATATACTAGTATATGGTAAGTTTGTGTATTTACTTCTTTGACCATCAGACCACATCTCTCTCTCTTTTCAAAAATCTTTGTGTGTACCAAGCGCAAGAAAGGAATCGAGGAGAGCACTGAATCCAGTGTTGAAGATATGGAATGCTCAGGTACACAGACAGAAGAGGCCACAAAAACCCGTAAGTTGAACAGTCTTGCCTATTAGCTTTTTCCATATATAAACACAGATTTCATTTCCTTCCGCTAAGTAAGAGGTTAACTTATGGTCATAACATTTTGATTTTATGATAAAATATCACACAAGAGGATCTTCTATTTGTATAGTATTATCACAGTGTTCTTTGTATACATTGTATTATTTACTGTTCACAGTAGTCACGAAGTTGGGGTGGGGAGCTACTCTCATTTTGCATCTAGGGAGCCCAAGACATGGAGCACTGAAATGGCAGAGCCAGAGCTCTTACCTCTCAGGCTGCTCTCTTTCCATTTCTGCACACGGATTACACATCATGGGATACAGGGGAAGGTCCAGATCTGGCGAGTAGTACCTGGGCTTACTGCGGCTGCCAAGTTCCACGGGCCTGAGCCATCCGTGTGCCCCCCACAAAGTCTGCCAGCTCTTCTTGTCTCTCAACAAGTTGGGGCGCAAGGAATTAAAGCCTCAGTCATCACTTTTCAAAGCTCTTGAAGCAAAAAGCAGAGTATAAAGTCATTTCCGAGATGGCTCGTAAACTGGTGCTGAAGGCTCTTCCAGTATGGAGCAGAGCTGGCGTTGGCATCAGCAGGGCTGCATCTGCAAAGGGCACAGTGGGGTTGGGCTTCCGTGTGGTCCACTTCGTAGACGGCTGGTGTGGATGTGTAGGTGCACCTCTGGGCGGCCCAGAAAAGGGAAAACAGGTTCCAGGTTTCACAAGAGATGATTTCTTGGGTGCGATGAAGAGATTGAGCGCTGGTTGTGGTACCAGGCTTTTCTTTTTCCAGACTTCTCTCCTATCTCGCTGCCTTTTATTTATTTATTCTTTTCTTGGTTCTGAAACATTTCTCACTTTCTAATAGAAAAGGCTCATTTTTGGTAAACGTTTCATGAGAGCCCAAGTGCCCTGTTGAGTCGGACCAGGGACCTATTTTACCTTCCCTTTGGTAGTGTCCGCCTGTGCACATCTGTGGAAGACAAGCCTTTGACTTTCAAAGAGAATCTTCTGCACTCGAGTCTGTTAACACTGTCTTTCTTGTGTAGTATGGATAGGATTTCCTTAGGTTCACATGAATTCACCCCAGACAGTACTGGGGGTATCTAGAGAGGGAGGATAGAACCTCACCCTGGAGGCTAAAGGTTTTGAAGAAGTTCCTTTCTGTCTCCTGCAGCCATTTTCCGATCCCTGCTGTTCTCCCCGCCTCCCGTCTTGTTCATTTTGTTATTAGGAAGTGAGGAGTCCCGAGGAGCAGTGCATGGAAGCCTGTGTCAGCCAGAGGCTAGCGGCAGCAGCTACGACAGTGAGTGGGAGCAAAACTAAGGAGCATTTGTAAAGATAGAGCAATATTCTTACTTTAAAAAAATCCCTTAAAAAGTTTTTAAAACAGAGAGTTTCAGTTCAGCAAAGGAACCAGCCCACATTGTGATAATAAGGTTGATACCCATTTAGACTGGAGTGAATTCACAGCTGTGCGTGGAGAAAACTCATGCCTCTCCTGACTGCCTGAAGGTCATTTGTTACCTGAACTTTGCTTAATGAGCATCAGAGTTATTTGTTTTGATACATCAATAATTTTAAATTGGACTATAATTATGAAAAAATGTTTTTCATACCCCAAATTTTAACTTAAGGTCCTTACGCTGCTGGTTTTCACTGGGAGAAAATATATGAGTATTTTTGTTTTACTTATTAATAACAAAAGAAGAGTGTGGACCCCATTGCATATTTGAGGAGAACAATCCAGATCTTTTGTTTCAGTTTAAACAAAAAGAAGATAGAGAATAAACACATTCTCCCTGATTTATATAAACTCCAAATTGCTTTACTTAAATGCTGTTTCTCTTCTTATTGTAATTTATCCTTTCTCCTAAAGTATAGGGCTAAAGTATTTTATTGTCTAAATATTCATAAATGAGAGAAATATTACCTGAGATGGTAAAATGTTATTGCTTCTGGCAAAAAAAAAAAAAAAGGCCAGTGTTCATGAAAATACGTATTTGTATTCATCATTTTAAAATAACTTGGAGGAGGCACATTATTGTGTTTGAATTTTGTTTTAAAAAAATATATAATACAATTCAGTGACTTCTGTGTCCTAGAGCTCTAAGATTTTGTGTCATAAACGTGTTTCAAGAATGGTTACCTCTAACAGCAGCTTTAGAAACGTCAGTTTCTTCATTAACAGTTTTATTTTCAAACACAATTTATGGTTTACAATATGGTAAGAGATTTTTCTCACTGTGCGATCTTTCAGAATGCTGTGCCTGGCAAAATGGGAGCACCTTTCCTTTAATATCTATTTAGACCATTTTGAAAACATGTATAATTTTCTTGATACACCTAAACTCATTTTGACTAGTTGGTGGTCTATTGTGTAAGAACACATTCTGAAAGCTTTCAAAATGTGTATTGTGTAGGTTTTCTCAAAGAAAGAGAGGGGGTGACGGGGTGGTTTTCAAGAAGAACAGAGGCCTCTAATCCTTTTATTTTTATGCAAGGCATAATTTTTACCAATTGAGAAAATTTGGTTATTTGCTGCAAGTAATTTTCCCCCCCACAAAATGATAAGCCTTAAAAAACCATGCATATTCTGGCATTTCAAAACCGTCCCAGTACTTCAGAATTGGACTAAAAATTAGTTAATGTAGCCATGATATTTATGGCTAGCTGCTTTGTCCCTCCCGTTCATAAAATGGACAGTACTCTACAACCTTCTCTTGTGAGTGTTATATTTGAAGTAACCTTGAATTTTGGTCCATTCTTGAGAAATCTGAGGGAAGCAGGATTGACGGTTGGTTACCTCTCGAATATCTATGATCTAGTCAAAAAAGGGATACTTTTAAGGGCACACTACAAAGAAACTTCCCACTTATTTTAAATTTCTGCATTAATAAAATCATAGAAGAGTACTTTTCCTTTTTCAGATACCAAATTTTACACGTTAGTCTTAAGATTGCACCTTTTACCAATAGTAATAAATTATGAAAATGGGTATATTTTTTTAAAGAGACGAGAAGAGGAAAAATATTTTTTCTGCCACAATTAGAATTGATTATTAGGGAAAATACTGAATTGATACCTGCAGCAAAGACTTCACGTTGCAGGATCCTGATTACATAATAAATTCCACGTAGTGTTTTTAGTTGCAGTGAAAAATTTTAAATCTAGATAGAAGGAGATAAGCAGCAGTGGTGTTTAAGAGTTAAAAAAAAAAAAAGCATAAAATGACAAATTAGGATGTTAGTGATAATACTACTACTTGAACAGAGTGATAACTATTGTTAAGTGTCCTTTGTAATGTGACTATTCCAAATTTATTGAAAGGAAGATGTACTATAGTACTGATTATTGACCTGGATTTTGTGATACCCTATTACGCCCCACCTCAGTCCATCACAGTATTCCTCCTTTTCTATGCAAAATTAATTTCAAAATTCTTGAAATAAAAAATTAAAAATCTACCATGGAATATTTTTTATCTATCACAAAAATTGAGGAAAAAGCTCAAAAGTTTAAACCAGCTGTAGTAAAGGCTATCTATTATCAATGGCAGGAAAAAAAAAAGATATCCATGTAAATTTGAAGTTTGCTTTAATTGAAATATATGGCGGGGCGCCTGGGTGGCTCAGTCGGTTAAGTGCTGCCTTCGGCTCAGGCCGTGATCCCAGGGTCCTGGGATCAAGCCCTGCGTTGGGCTCCCTGCTCCGCGGGAAGCCTGCTTCTCCCTCTCCCTCTGCCTTCTGCTCTGCCTATCTGTGCTCTCTCTCTTTCAAATAAATAAAATCCAAAAAAAAAAAAAAAAAAAAATACGGCAATGAAATAAAAACTGGAACTTGGAAAAAACAAAACAAAACACTGATTTTTAAACTGATCTTCCACACAAGTAACTAAGACTATAAACAGAAAACCTTTAGAATTTATTATTAGATGTGGTAAATATTTTGTCCGAGATTCAAAGAATGTTTTGTACATTTCAGAAAAGAAGTATTGATCTGTTGCTTAGTGCATTCATTGATTAATTATGGGTGACCATGCTGCCCCTCACCCTGGTACCGTTGCTCTTTTCCGGGCCAAGGGAGGCGTGAAGCAGAGGGAAGGCACACATCATTGGCCCATGCTAGGCAGCCGTGATCAGGCTTACACGTACCCTTCCGACTGCTGTGCTCGCCTTGGAGGTAGAGTGGGGGTGCCAGGTGGGAAGAGTCTCCTTGGTGAGGTGGAGTTCCTGTAAAGAATTCCGCCCCCAGTAAAGAATCACGGATTTATTCCAACTCAGGAGTAGTTGGATGGGAACTGTCAGGAGGTACTTTGACTGGTATCAGATGTGATGCATCTTTAGAAGGCTCCTCAGTTGGGATCTCTTTAATTCCTAGTGGAAAAGACTTTGTGTTTTGGAATGGCCAGGGCTCTCCTGCCTAGAGAGTATGGGTAACAGGCTTTAAAAAGCAACACATTTTATCCCTTGCTTTTCAGAATATGCGTTACTTCATCGCTTCCCTCCAGGAAATGAAGGCCTGTCTTGTTGCTATAGCTTACATTAGGAGTTATTGTTTTAAATTGCACAATAAAAGTTTTGGGGAGAAAGATTTCAGTGCCTTTGTAAATTGTTCTGTTGTGACTTAAGACTGAAAGGTAGATGTTAGCATATTTTTGGACATACTAAAAAATGGACACAATTTCCTAAGATTTTCAGGCTATTAGCCATTACTTTTGTGTAGGAATTTAATCTCCACAAATCCTCATAGTCAGTTAGATTTTTAGATACGAATAAGTATATATGGAAATGCTTATATATCTGTTCTTTAGTTTTTGTAAGTTAATGATTTGAATTTCTTTGTTTTTTTTTCTCTTCAAGGTTCAAAAACCAGAAAGAGAGTCCAGAAGTAAATCAAATGCTGTCAACCGACTTTTCTTTTCTTCCTGTCATTTGACTTTTTCCTCTTTTTCTATTTTAAATGTTATATTTTCATGTGAGTCTTTGAGGATGGGGCTGACCATGAAATACTATGTCTTTGAAAAATATAAACTTTTTTTATTAAGTAAATACTTTGCACAATTTATTAAAGGCTAATTATAAAATTGAAAATCTATAGGTCATACTCTTTCAGCTGATCCCAAGCTGTATGTGTTTGAGGTTCTGAAGCAGCTGTAAGAAAAACCACCATGATGTGTACTTTCTAATCATTGTCCATTGCCCCGAGTGTATAGAAATGCTTGGCAAAATCTTCCCCTTTAAGCAGATATACAAACCTTAAAATAAAGGTCTCTTTTTGCATGATACAAATACACCATTTGTTGTGGCCATAAGATTTGGATTGCATTGGTTCTGTTCAGTTCCACAAGCATTTATTGAGCACCTGCTGTATGAAGCAAGAGGAACAAAAAAGGGAAAGGGTTATGAAAGCAAAAGTGGGGTACTAAGCAGGTCTGTGGGAGACCAAACCCATGTATTTGAAAGTGAGATTGCAGAATGACTACCTACGCATGCAAACTGTATGAAAAGAAAATACGATAAAGTATCCAGTGGTAGCATGATTACAGATTTATAGACTGGCTTCTTTTAAGGAGATCCTGTGGGAAAAAAAAACAAAGCAGACTTATTGCTCATTCACAGGAGATTATTTTTCTTATAAGTCGTTTTTGTAGCATATGATGTCTGTGCAGTAAACCAAAGCACTCGAGAGTTTTAGTGATCAGAGAATTTCAGATTTGAACTTTTTATAGTTTCCCTGGTAATAAAAGCTTGGGATTTAAACTATATGAACAATTTCAAGGTTTACTTTGTTGCAGAAATTGGAATTGGGTTGGATTTCCCAAAGGGTGGTACACCTTACCGCTTAATGGCACATTCCATCTTTGTAGATGACATAGAGACACACTTTTATTTCAGCATTTAAGCATTAAGCATGTATTTTAATATGTGTTCAGAACATAAGTAGCACATGAAACTGGTGATTTCTCTGTTGCTTAGGACAAGCTTCAAGGAGGTATTTCTGTATTTAAAAAAGTGAGTTGATTTAAAGAAAATGTTAAGTAATAGTACAGGTGGAATGTCAACATACCCCAGATTGTCAGGGTGGAACCACGTTGGAGGAGCTCTGAGCCAACACTGAGACTCTAAAACTTTGGCCCCAAATGTGGGTGTTTAGGTGTCACATGGAATACGTGTCACTGTAGTGGTCAGATGTTGAAAAGTGCAGACCAGATCTGCAGACTTTCCTTTGAAAGTTCATCTTTTAAATGCCTCCTGAAGTTCTTGAGCTGTGTGTCTTTGCAGAAGAGAGAACTAGATTTTGGGCAGAACCTCCTGTTTTCCGTAGAATGTTGGATTTTCGTGCTCATCAGTGTTATGGTCCCAAGTTTATTTGTAACACCTAAATCAACTCTCAAGTTCTGTTTCAAACACATTGATGCTTAAAATAGGATAAAATGGGGCGCCTGGGTGGCTCAGTTGGTTGAGCGACTGCCTTCGGCTCGGGTCATGGTCCTGGAGTCCCGGGATCGAGTCCCGCATCGGGCTCCCTGCTCAGCAGGGAGTCTGCTTCTCCCTCTGGCCCTCCTCCCTCTCATGCTCTCTGTCTCTCATTCTCTCTGTCTCAAATAGATAGAATCTTTAAAAAAAATAAAAAAATAAAATAGGATAAAATGTGTGTGGTGTGTTTTTGTGTATATGCCTTAGCCTTTTTTATTTTCCAAAACACAAAAACATAGCAAAACCTGTTGGTTAAATATTAAGAAAACAGATATTTCCTCACATACTGTTTTTAACAAGTGCTGGCATTTTCTCGAATGTTACTCTGTTGGCAGGGCTGCAGAAATTAAAAACTAGTAGCCATAGTAGCCAGTTGGATTCATTGGCTGCATCTCCTTACTCCGCTGCTCTTCTCCTTCCTACCTTACACTGGGTTTTTTTTAGGCTCCCTTTATTTTAAATCAGTAATCAAATAGCCTCGTCATTCGGCGTTATGCTTTTTTTTTTTTTTTTTTTTTTTTTGCCTTTTTCAGTTTTGTACTTACTATTTTTATCTTGCATCGTTTTTGTTTCCTTTCCAGTCCGTGTTTCAGTGGACTTTGCCAGTCTTTGTTCCTTCATAACCCAGCGTCCACATTCTGACAGGTGTTCCTGGCACCATGCGGTCCTGCCTTCTCTCCCATTTTCCTTGGTTGTTAGTGAGCTGAGATGGTCTGGTCTGCTGAGGATCGACACCTGTGCCAGGCTCTTGTCCTTCACACCGTGGGGGCAGTACGTGCTCTAGATGTTCTAGAAAGCAACCAATACATGTTTGGTAACCAACTAAGCCCTGAAGTAAAATAGCTTCTAGGTATTCTTCAGTAGTGATCTCTTAAGACAAATAAAATGCTAATAGGCCAGAACTATAAAGCCTCAATTATTTTTTTGAATTACTAAATTAAATGTGCATATGAAGGCCTAAGTCGCCTAGCAATAAATTAGTGGTGGAAATATAAATAAATTATATGTATTTATGTGTATGTGTTTATATGTGGTTGAGCAATATGTGCTTGATTATCCCTTAAAATGCTATTTTGTTGGCTATATTCTTGTGATTACCAAAGTTTATTAATAATACCTGGTCACTAGGAAATTTAGAACACACAGAAAAGTATCAAAAGACAAACCAGCCATATTACTCCCACCCACAGGCAACCACTGTGAATGTCTTGACACATTTTCTTCCAGGCTTTTCTATGCATTTTTATTTCAAATAATTATTATACTTGATATAAAACTTCATATATAGCTTTTTAAAGCTAGAATTAAATACTTTCCACGTTATTATAGATACTTCATGAATATAATTTTTATGTTTCTGTAATATTTTTTCTTGTGGATTTATGACGCTTTCCTGACCATTTCCCTAATATTGGACATTTAAGTTGTCTTTGGTATTGGGATAAGTAATTTTTTTTTAAGTTTTTTTTTTTTTTTAAGTTCATTCAAGTAATCTCTACACCCAATGTGAGGCTCGAACTCACAACCCCGTGATCAAGAGTTGCATGCTCTGCCAACTGAGCCAGCCAGGAGCTCCTATAAGTAATATTCTTGATTAAACTAGGCAGAAATCTTTGTCCACATGTGCGAATCTATTTCCTTGGATTTTCAGAAGGGAACCACTGGGTCAAACACTATGAAAATGGAAGGTTACTGATGCATATTAACAAGTTGCTTTGCAGAAATCCACCAGCCAGCACTTTGCCCAGCAAATCAGAGTGCACAGCTTAGATTTGTCATCCTTGAATATTACTAATTTTTATCATTTGATAAGGTAAATTTTTTTTCATTGCTAGTGAATCTGAGCAATTATTTTTTATTTGTAAACTAATTGCTCTGTTTTCTTCCTGGTGTATTTGATTGTACTGTTTGTATAGTGGTGATCTTAACCCTTGGTTATATTTGTTGCTGACTTTTTCCCATTTGTTTTTTGTTGGTGGTAATATTTTTTATTTTTGTGAAACTTAATATTTATGGCTTTAATCTTTTGATCTTTTTCATTGTAATTTCCACCAGTGTTTTAAAATATTCCTCATCCTGAAATCAGAAATATTTACCATAACTTTTTCTAGGCTTTTTGTCTTAATGCTCCTAAATTTTTCATCCATATGGAATTAGTTTTGGCATATCTATGCCAGGAGGTAAGGATCACAATGTATTTTTTTTTTTTCCAAATAGCTAACCGGTAGCTCCAGTACTTTTTTTTTTTTTTTTAAGATTTTATTTATTTATTCATGAGAGACAGAGAGAGAGAGAGAGAGAGAGGCAGAGGGAGAAGCAGGCTTCCAAGGAGCCGCGAGCCCGATGCGGGACTCCATCCCAGGACCCTGAGATCATGACCTGAGCCGAAGGCAGACGCTCAACCATCTGAGCCACCCAGGCGTCCTCCAGTACTTTTGTTAAATAAATCTTCCCCAGCCCCTTATACCCTGGTTTGTGTGATGCCTGCCTTATTATATATTAAGTTATTTTACCAGGGTGTCTTTCTGTACTGTCTGTCTGATTTCATTGATCTGTCTGTCCTTATGCCAGCACCATACATTTGTAATTAATGCCATTTTACTTATTCTTGTCTCCTAGACCACATTAGTAGAAATCAAAATGAAAGAAAAAATTCACTTATGAGCTTACTACACTACAAAAATCAAACTCCTGTTCTTTGGGTAGGATATTTTTTAAGTCCTGTTACCATGCCTTCGTAATTTCTCATAATTATAGCAGTTGCATAGATAAATAAGGTTTTGTGAGTTTTGGTTTCTTTTAAAGTTCTACAGGTATTCTATACCCCTCATTCATTAAGCTCTGCTGGTATAAGGAGGACAAGGCACACTGAGGAATCAATACTGGAAAAGGGTCTCTGGATACATAGCAACAGCCTCACACATTGGATCAGTGATTCTTTGCAGTATACTGCTGACCAGGTGGTTTAGGCAATTCTATTCTTGGGTGTGATTTTGCAAATAAAATGTTTACCATTTCCACTGTACTGAGCATGTATTACTCATATAGTGGTGAGCTTTTTATTATGACAGTAATGTTTTGCAATTTGTGAGTAGCGTTCCTGAATTTTTGTAATTTTGGCTCAAGTTAACCTGTAAAATTTCTGCATTGAGCAAATTATGGTTTTATTTAAGTGAGCCACCGTAAATGATCTCTGAAAATTCTTTCCTCCTTTTGATTTAAAGTGCAGCACTCGTTAGAAGTCTGAATTATCGGAAGGATGACTGGAAATGATCTGTAAGATAACTTTTGTCCCTGGTGCGCGGGGGTGGGAAGAAGTTCCAAGGGCCAGTCCAGAGTTTGCAAGGGGAAGAGAGGGGACAGTGGTCTGAATCTGTTCCTGCTTTTCTGTAGGTTGTCTTTCTGCTGCTAATACCTTTCAGAAGCGAGTGAGGAGTGATCACAGTCATATACATGAAGACCTTGTAACAGCCAGGCTAGTTTGTTTAGAAACTGAAAAATTGCCTATTCAGTAATTCTTTCTGACCTTGACACAAGAATCTTAGTACAGAAGTTCACGCTGATCCTTCTTGGTATAATTCTCAGATGAGAGCGATGCCCCTACATGCTTTCCCAAACTTTCTTCACGAGGGTCCAGGATGTGCTAGCACTGTATAAATGTCAGAGTTGAGCCCCTGAAGGGTCTGCTAACTCTGAACACTGGAATGTTCCAGGGCAATAGATCACAGGGAAAGTTACAGTTGGGTAGTACATATTGATTCTATTGATTCCATTCCATTTCCCAGTGAAGGGAAAAGGGAGGAATAGTTCTTGCACTTTCCTAGATAGAGAAATG